GTGGGGGTGGGGTGGTAATTTGTCTCTGACTGTCAACATGCATCACACAAGCATTCCTTTTTACTGTGAGAAGTCCTGTGACTAATTCCCTTGTGGTCATCCAAAATTAATTTAGACTAAATGCAACTCATGATTATAAATGTGGTCTTTATGCTTTGAATATGCAATAACAGTAAAGTTGAACCTCTGCAAACAGACGCCTTGTTAAGTACTGACACTCCCGATCAGTAGGTGGACACACACATGCTGTGTCTCCTGTCGTGAGTGGACACCCCTTTTTCTTTTAGAAATCATGTTTCATGATAGTACCCCTGAAAGTGTATGGAGGTTACTGGTTGCTTGTCTGTTTTCACACAGAAAGAATAAGCTGGCAACAACATCCAGCTCAACTTACCAAGGAGATTTCATCAGCAAGGTCTGGTTTGAAGTGGCTCTATCTCGACTCCTTCAACTTACAGATGTGCCCTTTCTTGAGGACATATTGACTCAAGCATTTACAGATGATAGGGAAGAAGTGATAGTAATTTCAAACAGTGTTCCGGAACCATGCGTTCAGTATTCACAACATATTGGCTGCAATAAAGAAACTGCAGACAACTCAGAGTGGAACAATGTTTGGGTGACACTAGGGATGGAATGTATTCAGTTACAGAGAGACTTCCCTCTGCCGCAGCGAGGCAATGTGGGCTATTCAAATCTGATGAATGCCAAGGAGGCAGGAATTCAACAGATTCTGTTACAGTATTATGGTTCCCTAGTTGATTCCCTGATTCCTTCAAACCTAACAGACTTGGTAGATGGTGTTCTGTGTGCTTTGGCTAATGATTGGACAAAGGCTGTTACACTTCTGCGAATGTTGATCTTGATGCTGCAAACAAGTCAAAGAAAACACCTGAGAAAATTGTTGAACTTCCTGGGGCAGTCTGTAGGTGCAAACAGTGGCAGGTTCATCATCAAGAGGTTTATGGGTGCTATCTTACCAAGAGACGTCAAATGTAAGGTGGGTGTACTCATTCACTAAGCCTATTTAAGTAGGAGTTGGAAATATGCACCTGGGTGAAGAGGCTTTTTTTCTTGCTTAACATGACAAAATTAGCCCATCCAGGGTTTGAAAACAGACCTCTAATGCACTACAATTGTAGGCAGTAGATGACTGTGCATCCCAATTTCAATTTCCATATACACTGTTGAATTATGAATTGAATTGAATTAATTCATATTATGAATTGCAAAAACTTACATGTACTAGGGGCAAAGACAAGACCTTTTTCAGGTTGGTTTAACTGTTTTTAATGAATAAGACAGTGAGTTTTGAGACATTCTGTTGACCACTGAGTCTTATATTGGACTGGCCACTCTATTGCATTTCTTTCTCTCCAAGGGTTCTGGTGAAAAATTGGTTTCATTCATGGTGAGGAATCAACAGCAGATGTTTATTGTGCCAGCTCACCTCAAAGAGGATTTCAGGAGACACATGTCATACGCACAGAAAGGAATGTGTCCACCCCTGCCATCCACAGTTTGTCAACAAGTGTCGGTTGCAGAGTACAGAAACCAAACCACATTGACAACAAGTCTTTCCTTGAACAAGCTTATGAGCTATATCATTGACAACCGGCAGATGAATCTTAGAGAAAAGGAGGAACATCTGAAACTTTTCCAGAAATACCACAATGACATATTTTTACAACAATTCCCAAGTGGCCAGTTGTGAATAATGTTTTATTTATTTTTGAAGGATTGACATCATGTTGAAGTAAAAGTGAAAGTGTTGTGAGCAGGGTGGTGTCAAAGCCTAATCTGTCATTTTGACAATGGGCTAGCAATTACGCATGGTTAGGAAACTCTGGTGAAAAGTTGGCTAGAATAATAATAATTAAATTAGTTTTAAGATACTTCATGTAGCTGGGAAAGCTTCTCAAGAAAGAAAGGAGAGCCACTGCCTCATAAAACCTTACGACACTTCCACTTTTAACGATTTAACCACAAAGACAATTTTTGTGCATTACCCAGTACCATTTGATGGTGCCTTAATGCTTTTTAACGACTTTCTGATGTATTCTTAGTTTTGGCCTCTGCTCCTGAACAGATTTCCACCTGTTTCATGGCACTGAAGAAATGTACTGTGAGACTTGCAAATATCCATCCATTTTCCCATGCTTATTTCAGTAACTGCATCTGTTTGAAATAGCCCATGTCTGACAACTGAAACTGGAACACCTTTTATGGCTGCATCTTCTTGTGTTATGGATGAAATTGCCTTTAGTTGATATTTGTTACAGATGTGAAGATCAGGGCAATAGGTGACATAATTTAACTTGAAACAAGAGTCTGTTTTGGTTCTTTGCCTCAAATCTAAGCATGTTGGACTTAGTTTACTTTTAAATATTTCACAAATCAAGTAAACATTTTATTTTCTTGGTGGGACAAAAATACAAATAATTTCCACAAGTCTGTTTACCTTTGATCAGTGCTCTTATTTGTGTGGTAAATAGAAGCTACATTCCTTAAAGAGGCCCAGCAAAGTTGGGTTGCTATGTTAACTCTCTGAACAAAAAAATGTCATAAGTTTTATCACATTTTTTAAGGATTTGTTGTTGATTTTCAGCATTTGTGAAATTTTTTGGGACAGGCCAGGACAAACAGACAAACATAGTCATTATCAAGGCTTCTTTTGGTTGCGTTATTTCTGGTTGCTGCTTTTGGCCACATCAATTCAGTAGTGAAAGGGTTAACAAAATTTATTTTGAAGTATTTATTATGTGCAAGTACAACTTTCTTGCCCAACATCTACCAGGTCAAGGGTTATTTGATCATTTCCCTTAAGTTTAATTTCCAAAAGGTTCCATCTTGAGACAGTTTTTCTCAATGCTACCTTTTCTGTAACACCACTGTTTGTTTACCATTGATTACAGAAACTGGTAACAAAATTTCTGATTTAATATAAATTATTTGCAAATGCCAACTTGGATCATATTGAGATTACAAAAACAGGTCAATCGCTGGCTAAGAAGGATTTATTTAATATTTTGTGAAATGCTGTAGAAGAATAGCTTGCATAGCTAGTGGGTTTTTCTTGGAATTTTGCTGGTGTGAGAGACAAATAAGTGGTGCAAGAAGCCTCAAGAGGAATGGGGACGAGGGAGTTTTTCCTCTCACTCCTCCCCACACAGGTCTGTCATTTGTTCTTGTGGATCCACCACTTGTTTCTGTCTCTTTCCGTCAAAACTCAACAAAACTGCCAGCTATGCAGGCTAGTAGAACGAAACAACACAAATACATCCTGCAGGGTATTTACAGAAAGAAATTTATTTTTTTGAGGTTTTACAGTCTTGTTTTTCCAGCTTGACATAATTATCGAAATAATTAGCACAGTGTATTTGAAAAGCTGGACACATTTTACTATCAAGTACAAAAGTGTCAGTTAAAGTTTGCATAATACATACACTATAGGACTCTTTATTTCATCACTGTAAATCCATTTTGGATTGTGATGCAGCTGTCCATCTCAATGAGGTCACCAAAATGAATTGCAGTTAAGGCTTGGGCAAAAAGCCACACAGGAACTATTCATACTTGTTATGCAACCGTTGAGTGGTGCACCATGGAATAGCTCACAAGACACTTGAATTTTCTCAGTGTATTTATGAGCCTTTAGGTGAGTGAGTACACCGAGAAAATACAAGTGACAACTACGATATTCCATGGTATACCATGAGAGCATAACTAATTTATACCATGCCATAGAAAATACAGTGGCCAGCACAATCAATGTGCCATACACGCACAGAGCATGATGGCACAGTTGGATATAATACCATCAAATCTACAACAGCTCTCCTGGCTTCTGATTGGTTGTTTGTTTCTATTGCATGGTACAAAAGGTTGAATTATGACTCAGAAGTATTGAATTAAGGTGACATGACCCTGAACACTAAAGCTATAGTATGCAGTTCCTATCTGTAAGAGACCACAATATTATTATATACAAAACTTACAGTGAACTATCACCACTTACTATAAGTAACAAACAAGAAATGTCATACAAATATCTTCAAGTTATTGAATGAGCCTGTCTAACCTTATTTTGAGAGAAATACTTCAAATGATTGTCTTGAAACGAGAAAGGTCTCAAGCACAGCTTGGAAACCAGATGAAAACGTTCTTCATGAAGGAGAAAAGCCTTCTTTGAAAACAAGAACTTCAAGAATTTTTTTTAAGTAAGGCCTTTACAGCAGCATTATTTGCCTGCACTTCTACAACAGCAAGGAATAAAACGACAGTAAAAATAAAACATACTGCTTTCACAGACTTAGGAAGAGATTCAAAAACTACTAACTCTACACTAACAAACCAGTCTAGCTGTTATATTGAGTTACACAACACTTCACTTCTATTAAAGCATCCTTGAATTTATAACTGAGAATTCTCTCTGACAATAGCTGAAGTTAGGGGGTCTCCTATTCAAATTCACTAATTCAGGAAAATGTTATTCAACAGCCCACTTCCACGACAAAAGGCTGCAAGACACCTGAATACTATGCCTCGAGAAAGGTGTTCAGCCGTGTCTTTTGCCCATAGTCACACTGTCGTCAATAATTACTGAAATGTTAATTTCAGCAAAACAAGCTCACGATACAAGGTGATCTTGTTATTAATGACACTGTACATTATGTAGATTGTGAGCAGATTCTCTGTTTTCCTGATTAGATCTTGCTTGGTATAGGATGTTGCTTTACTTCAGCTCCCATTCAGGGAGTTTAATTTTAAATTTACAGAAAACAGCAAAAATGAAACTTTTGCCATCTGTCTTCAGCCTGTTGGCACAGGAGTGTAACAACATTTGTATTTTTGTGGTGAATAGTAGAAGACATTTTTCTATATTTCAATCTGTAATGAATTTGTTTAGGGATATGAAGAAAAGAACACAAAATCAGAGGTAATTTTTGCTGTTTTTCATAAATGCTATGCTGAGCCTCACTAGTTCTCCACTGCACAAGGAGAACATGACTGTTCATAGTCATTCTACCTGTACTGTTACACGTGATGCAGTCATCTGAAATTTCTGACATCATTCTTCATTTCTGGTCTTCCTCTTACACTACTCGTGGAAAACTATTTCAATCAGTGCCAGGTGAATGCGAGATAGTGATTTCACAAGGAAGAGGCTCACTCTTAATGCTTATGAATATCAAAATTGAATTATAAAAATGCAAAGACAAATTGGATCTAAAGAAGTCAATGGTCCAGGAAACATTTTTGTGTAGATAGAGACTTCGCAGTACAACATTTCAAGGACTCATTGAGACCTGCAGCAAGTTCGTTTTCAAGTTCACCTTGTCCTCCTGACGCTTTTCCAGCTGACTGTTCTTGAAATTCAATGTAGTCTTATCAGATTTTCTATCTTCTATGAAATTACATTCCACGAAATTGGTGGAAATTGCAACATGTTCTGGGCATTCTCAAGTTGGTTTAAGTTTTAATTCTGAGACTGCTGTTTTAATCATGAGTCTGTTGTTTGATTCCAGTGTTTGGTCAGTTGTCATCCGTGTACATTTTTATATATTTTCACAGCTGTTTCAACCATGCTTCATGATTATTTTATTTGTACGCTGTATCTTGCTCTTTTCAGTTGTTTGGTCTGTTGTCATCCGTGTATATTTTCAGTGCTCTTTCTTTGTATGAAAACCTGCCCACTCTTGCACTTGAACTGCTGCTTCTGTGTCAAAGTAATACAGAGCCGTAAGTGAAAATAAACACGCATTTTCAACCATCTGATTCTCAAGCTCCAGTTATTCAAAGATTAATTGAAAACCACTTCCATCTCCTTAGCAATGTGATGTTAAGATGGTATTAGTGAGAGAATTCTCACTACTTGAAACCTGGATTAAAGTTAGCCAACTGTGGTTTCAATCATCTCCGCTTTCATAACTAATAATTTGATATCAAATGGCAGTCAATGTTACATGTTGGCCAAACAGGTCTAACATATTTCAGCCTTGCTATTTAATTACATGATGTAATTAACAATGAACACTGGCATAGCTTACTTGGCATTTTCCTTTTTCAAGATTTCTTGTTTCTTCTCTTCTGTTATTTCCATGAGTTCCTCTGTTTTATCTCTGAATAAAAAAAATTGCTACTGTCATACTAAAATTAATGATTATCACCAAATATCAAGGCACTGTTACATTTAAAATTATGAATAGTAAAATAAAATTAATGATTCCACATTTAATAAATTCACATTTAACACATACAATACTTTACAAAGTTACCTTAGAATTTTTTTGTTGGAATGAGTTTATTTATAATAAATGAATTACACTCAAAATGGCTGAAGCCTTCTGCTATAAACAACTTTATTAATCTAGAGTGGTTAAAATTAAATTTTTGTGCATAATTTAAAAAATAAGTTCTTGCCATAACCTCCACAGTTTAGTTAAACATTTACTAATGAATCCTATAAATCCTATAGTGCTATAAATCATTTAACACAGCTGCAGTCCTGGCAGCACTGGTTACAGAGGTTCAGATTCACAAATTGATGTATAGGTAGGACAGACAACTAAAATATGGACGTGATTGGAATTTCTTGCAAGTTTACTTGAGCTCTGGATGTAACCAGCTATGTAGGCGACATGTATAATAATTATTACAGTTATTACATTACATTAACCTCAACTCAATGTTCAAAATTTAGTTTGACTACTATAATTTAAACTAATCTGGAGTGATGAAAGTCAATTGAAAATTATGTTAATCATTTTATTGGAATACTCATATTAGACATTTTTACAGTAAAAAAGACACCTCTGATGCCACACATTCATCTGAACCTGTTCAAAAGACAAGCAAACCATGAGGTAACGTTGCATTTTTTTTACCCTTACCTATAAAATACCACTGCTCCATCATCATTAATTAGCAAAGGACTTGCTCCAAGGGAGGTCATGTCACTTGACCAATCATATTCATCATGAATTTCCAGAATTGGCACTTCACAGGGAAACTGTCCACGGCCCTACAGAGAGATCACATGCTCGTAAATACGCAGTTTGAGTTGAGTAAATTAGTCTTAATCAATGAGCAACAACTGCTGTTTTCCCTTTCCGCTCATTTAAACCCTGCTTCTGCTGATCAAATCCATTCAATTACAAACTTTTTTAGACAAGCCTTGCTTTTCACATTTGGCACAGAGAACAACAAGTGTGGCTATCTATCACATTGAGTATTACCAAAGGCAAATCATTTTGTTCATTAAGTTGTTACATGCTGTTAGAAAACTAAATTTTACATCTAAAGCAATTAGCATTTACCTTGCATAACTCTAAATTTCCAACTGGAATGCTACTAAGTTTACTAATCTGTAAGAAAAATACAAGAAACACCACATCAGTTATGACAACAAAGCAGAGAAGAAAAGTTAATGAAGAAATCAAATCTCTAGGGCTATGGTATGAAGTAGTTGAAATCTTCAACATTCGTTATTTCAGGAGCCCCCCCCCCCCCCTNAAAAGTTAATGAAGAAATGAAACCTCTAGGGCTATGGTATGAAGTAGTTGAAATCTTCAACATTCGTTATTTCAGGAGCCCCCCCCTGTCTCTGATGGTATCACCTAGGGGAGGGTAGGGGAAAAAGGAGTAACAGTCATACATTAAAGGTATACTGTCTTAAAAACAGTTTTGAGATTAAATAAAGATGACTACAGCCATAAAATTTGGCAAAAAACTACAGAGTAGGTTTGTCTCAGTAAGCATTAGGTGGGGACACATCATAGCTGCATACATGGCAGCAAGCTGAACAGATCATTTAGAGAAACTCTATTCCAAAAACAAATTCTTGTTGTCTGATAATAGAATCTTACAAAGTATGCCTTGACATCCACTAGATCTCCACTTTTCAGTTTGGCAATTGAATGGTCTATATGCTAAATAAAAGATAATATGATATGTATGATTCTTACTTCTTCTTTCAACTCTTCAACAACGCTATCCTGCAAAACAACCTCTTTTGGAAGGTCAAGAGTTAAAGTTGAAGGGTGCCACTGCCGTACATAGACTGATAGCTGTTCTGTTGAGGTCATTCTCTCGGGGCCTGTCAGTACAAATGAACATTTTGTGAACGTGAACAAAGTAAAAAAAAGGGGAAAATGATGAAACCAAATTATCGAGTATCTTAAGTTTAAGATTGCAATACACCTTATTCCAAAATGGCTGCCATTTTAGTATTCTTTTGTTTACTCGAAAATGAGCCCTTGTTGCCTTGTTTAAGGGAAAATATTCTTTTGAATTTCGAGTTTAAGAACGAGGTAAAATGGGCTAATTTGCAAGTAAACAAAAGAATACTTAAATGGCGGCCATTTTGGAATAACGTGTATGAATGTACTACATATCAAAAATAAGGTTTGACCACCAAAATTCCCAACTTGCAACATTTTGATATTTTGAACCTGTATTTGTTTGATTACCAAAAGAACTAATCACACTTTGTGACCTTACATTTCTTTTTCAAATAAATTTGAGCTTCTGTATGAAAGGTGTTGCTAATGTAAGTGTTTCACTAACTGATTGGAATACTAACCTTCCAGTACTTCCAGAAACACTTCAAAGCTTGCATACACTTGAATGTTCTCCTCAAACACCTGACTGTCAACATAGACTGTTCCAGGATTTTTCCAGTTTTTTCTTCGCATTCTCAGACTAAAAATACAATAGTAATAAATAAAGTAGAGGAAGAATATTTATGTTGTGGAACATCTTAAAAAATCATGTGTTGGGGAATGGCATGAACATATATCTTTATATGAATGAAGGTTAAGTGACAATGTTTTGGTTCATTTGCATTGGTGATACTGTAAACAAATACTAAGCTTTACAAGAAAGATAAAAGATTTATCATGTCATGATCATGGGACAAAAAATTACCCGAGTCCCAAGTTACAATGGGATTAGATTTATTACACATAAAAATTGTATGCCATTGCTGATCATAGCAATATACAGGACACATGTCACATTATTTATTAACCTAGTAAATGGCCTAACTCAATGAGAGTCTCTCCACAGCTCAGTGGATGGAGCACCTGGAAGGTCACAAGTTCAAATCCTACTGAAGATTCTGATTTTCTCCCTAATTCTTGGACGTACTGAACATTGCTGACAGTCAGCCAACACTTTAGTCTGAAACATAAC